AATAATGAACATGAATCGCTTATAACTTAACTCTTAGTAGTCAAGTGGTTGGCTTGGATAACCTAACTCTCGTTAGTCAAGTTGTTGATCTGGAGTTGGAAAATGAACATGACATCTTTCCTAGCAATGATGAGATTCCAAATTTATTGAATAACGTTGGTTAGATACATACTCCAAAGTTAATGGATATAGAATCCTCGTCATATTCAACAAAAAAATCTATAACAAAACCAAGAGTTATAGCTTATGAACACATTAATCATATGGACAAAGATGACAAGGTGTTGCTATACTGTAAATGCTACACAAAGTGATGGTGTTTTTCTAAGAATGTCTTCAAGAAGACTAAATCAAGCACATTAAATCAAATGAAGCATATGAAGAACATCATAAAAGTCAATGTTCTGGATGCAGCAACGCGTTGTTGGAACCAATGGACTGCTATCTCCATAATTTCTCACCTCTGGAGAAAAAAAATAGTAGCAACCTCAAATATTTTTGACGATCTTATTTGTGAGGCAATTAAGAAATTTTTGTTGTTTGAGGTCAAAGCGTTCATCATCATTGAGTCAAAGTCATTTTTAACGCTTTTGAAAATATTACTCAAATGTAAACGCAACAATGTGATCATCTCAAAAGTTGATGCTCTTCGGAACGGTATATTTAAAAAAGCCGAGGAGATGAAAGTTGAGCTTAAAAAGGAACTGTTCAAAAGCAATTTTGCCGTACATATGTCATTAGATATGTAAACATGTCCACACCAATTCTCTTTTTGGCTACAATCATCCATTTTGTTGGTTCAGATTGGATTGTTCATTACGAGTTTCTGGCTTTTACGAACACAACTAAACACAACGAGATTGGAATGGCAAAATTGTCCAGCAAATATGGAAGGAATTTAAAACAGTCGGGCGTGTTGGATGTCTGACCATGGACAATGCCTCAAACAATGACACTTTAATGTCAGCTTTGAAAAAGTCTATTGACGATCATTGCATTCGTGAAAGAATATCAAAGACTTGGAACGCAGATGATTCAAGGATAAGATGTCTGCCACACATTATCAATTTTTTAGTGTAAGCGTATTTCAAATATTTAAAAAAACCGACAGTATTTTAATCGACGAGAAAATTTCAACTAATTAGGCTTCTAATCTTATTCAAAGTTTACGTTATACAGTGAAAATTTGCATTATAGTTCTAAGCAAAGAAAGTGGGCAGTGTAGTCTTTCCACTTGTGAAAATCTGATGCTGATCTTGGATGTCTCAACCTGTTGGAACTAACATATTAAGGTTTGGAATGGGCTTCAAAATTGGCTCCATACCATTATTCAAATCTCAAGCATCAAGTTGAATCAGTTGTAGTTTAGTGATGATGAATGGCGAAGGTTTCAAAGCATTTGTGATCACCTGAAAAGGTTTAAATAGACCTCAAGATCAATGTCAAGGGAGAAGTACTCAACGCTTTCCTTTGTAATGCTTGTGTTTATTGAATTGTTCTTGCATATTGAAGGACAGGTGGCTCTTCTTGACGATCTGAATTCAATGAAGAATTTTTTGCTCATTGCACATCAAGTACTTTCCAAGTACTATTTGTTCACAGATGATTCTTAATTCTATATGATGTTTGTAATTTTTAACCCGAGGTTCAAAAACACATATCTTGAGCAAAAGGAGTTCAAGTCGGTTTATCCAAGATTGATAAGTGCTACTGTTACGTTGTTGAAAAATTTGGTGAATGAGACAAAAAAAATTTGTGACGTAGATGAAATCAATTGAGTTTTGTCACATTAATCTCAACAATCAATTGTATTTTTGGACATGTTTGCTCATTGCAAGGCGGATAACGAAATAGAAGATATATGTACTTAGACTATGAAGATCTTATCGTTGATTTGCTCAAATACTAGAAATTTCATGAAAAAAAATATTCCCTTATCATTGCAATTGCAAGGGACGTTCTTTCTATATCGGGTTCGTCAATGGCCGTTGAACGTATTTTCAATTGCAAGCACGATGTGATTGGTATGCGATGGCACTCTCTTGCTTCTAAGACTTTGAGTGCTTTGATGTATGGAGAAAATCTTTTGAGATGATTTATAATTATTAAAACATACAATTCTTTTTTGTTCACAATTCTTTTCAAATTTTATCCGAATCGATCTAAACCTGATCCAATTTTTTAAGTTCAGTTTTGGGTGAAGATCAAACACGACTCTAATCCAAACCGAACGGAACCTTAGCTAGGACGAGATCTGATGATAGATTTTTGGTAATCCAAAGTCGCGGCTTCTTTTGACAAGAATATACAAAGATTTGATAAAGTTTAAGAAACAAGCTTTCTTAAGGCAAAACCAAGAATCCTTGATTTAGGAGCTAATGAAATATCCTAAGTCTTTTTTGAAAAGGTTGGTTGTATAATACTCAACAACTTCTTTGGATCTCGAATCTTTGTTAGCTTTTGCCAAAAAGCTTTACTTTTTTCATGAAGCTACCTTTATACGGCATTGTGAAGCAGTCCAAGGTTTATTCTCTAAAGAGGAGGTGATGACTCTACTCATCATCTTAGAAAATGGCAAATATGAGGTCTTAGATGGTTTGTCCATTGAACTTCTCAAATGGGGAGTAGATTGTGTTGAACATTTTTCACCAAAGCTTTGAAGTATGTTTTCATCTATGATTTTCTCCGAACCTGGTCACTATGGAAGATTGTTCCTATCCACAGGTCAGGAAGAATAGACGTGATCACAAACTATTGCACTATTATGGTTGGTAGTGTTTTTGCCAAGTTGATTGATAAGTGGATGAAATCAAAGCTGAATACATGTATAGAGTGTCTTCAGAAGAGATCAAGTGTACAAGCTGATTTTTGTCCAACATACAACACTATTGATCATATTTTGGTCCTACAAGTATTATAGGATAAATTTAAGTACAACGATAAAGCTTCATTTTGAGCTTTCATTGATTTTGAGAAATTTTTTGACACTGTACCTAGTAAGCTTTTTTGGAAAAGGTTACAAAACTTGTTGGATGTCAACTTGGAATAGTCAAAAATCATCATATTTGGCACTAGATTCAATTATTCTTTTGGTTACAAAGATATATAGTTTGAATAAGTGAGGTGTTATAGATACATAGACATTGATTTTTCTAATGATTATAGTTGAGTACTTTGCGTGCAAAAAAAAGTAGAAGCTAGTTACAAAGCTCTCTATTCATTCTTAAACCAAAGTAGAAGAGCTCACCTTGTGTCTTCGGAGTTAAGGAAATTTTTATTTTAAAGTTTAGTGTTACATGTGATTTTCTACGGATCCAAGTATGAGGTCTGGTTGTAAGAAAACAGGATGGAAATGCTTGGAGAGGGTTCAGAAGATATTTCTTCAAGAAGAGTTCCGGGTGAAGAATTAAATTTCCTATGCTATTCTACTTGCGGAAACAAGTTTTTTCCTATTGAGGTTGGAGCTCTTTATTTGACCATCACTTACATTAATCTGGTCAGATCTCTTGGTACTTCTCGACTTCCTGAAAAAACCTTTACAAGATTTTAATGGGGTGGTATTTTAATGTGGTGGCTTGGTCCTCAAAGTCGAATGTGACGAAACGAGATTGTGACTTACAATCGATGGCCCTTTGCCAACATTTACAAGCCTCAACATTTTGTGGAACAGACTAGGCACCAAATTGGAGTTCTATCAACTTCATGTTAATTCTATGCTTGTTTATTGTCAACAAGGATATCTTCTTGCAGGGAATTCTACTTCTTTACGTCATATCATAGCACAGCATAGAACGGGATCTCATAGTCTACAAATTGAGGAAGGCAAAATATTACAAAAGTGAACAATTTTGTAGTTTATATGAAGGTACGAATATTGAGTACAAAGAGCATGTGTTTGTTACTTGTACTATATATATTGATATTAGAGTTGCTCATAAGGTTGTCGCACATGGTTTGTATTATTTTTACTGTAGCTTGAGCCTTACGATTTAGTATGTTACTTTAGAGACATCATTAATCTTTGTTTTAATGCTTTAGGCACTAGCCAGGGGATTCTCTCCTTGCATACGAGTGGATGATATGTTTTGTGTTTTTTAGCCTTTTGATCCTTTGGATACCATGGGCTTCATCTATTACCATTGCCATATATTTTCAATCATGTGATTGATAACTAGATGTAATGCAATTTGATTGTCACAATGAAGATACACAATGTCTTGTTTTAATTTTATATCAAGGCTTTAGTTACATACTCGTAGCGAAATATACTACAACTTTTTCAATGTAGAACTCCAATTTATGCATCCACTCCCAATATAAGTATATATCCATTTCTAGATTCATAGTCAACATCCACATTAACCAGTCAATGATTTGGGAGTGTACAATATTGAATCAAACACATTACCAAAATCCAACATATCTTTAAGAAATATTAATATACGAGATTGATTCATTTTACGACTTCTTCCATTATTCTTTTCTTCGACCAACTTGTCTCGAAAATGATATTATCTACTTGGAATTTGATGTGTATCGGGTTTTCCGTTGTTTCGACCGAGTATTAAATCACATCCTCGAACTGCATTAAAAAACTGTCGATCTTCGATGATCTCACCTGGCCACCAAACAAATGTCGGTCTTTGATCATCTCCAGACCTGGCACCGAGACCTTCCATGACTCTCCTACACTATGGGAATTGGGTTCCAAGTTTCTAATGGAATTGTTACTACTTAAAATTTTTCCCATCAGTATCGCGTTCAAATCATAAGTAACCTTCTCCTTCTTCTACTTCTTCGATTGCTGAGGAATCAATCAATTTTACGGTGCAAATATATGTACCTTTAAGAACGAAATGTATTTAACTGAATGAATTTCAGGATAGCTGTTTTTTCTCATTGTTTGCATGATGAGCAAAATCTATTACCTAGACATTGATGCTATTTTGCAACAAATTCTTCTACACTAGAAATTTTATGTACATTAGCATATGTAATTCTCGGAGTACATTTTACAAGTATTCCGCATCAAATTCATCTTCCACCTATTGATTTCCCTTAATTTTATTAATGAGATGCATCAATCGCCAATGCCGAATGGACTCATTAAAACGTGTAGTTTGTAACATTCACATGAAATGATTTGCAGCATGTAGGAAGCGTGATTCGGTCCATCCGAGATTTCTTTTGTTCCGGGGTCCGAGTTCCCCGTTGCGCGATTCGACAGGGCTCTGCAGAGTATCTGACGAGGGACCGAGAAGAATGGCCGGGTCGACCATCTGGATCTGGTTCTTGCCGTGGGCTGAGCCTGGACTCGCACGAAACGACACACATTTGAATGTCAGCGCTGCAGATCGAGCAGAAGATCGGGATTCCGGCAGGCAGGCAGGCAGGCAGGTCTCGGTCCTCGAGTCTTCAGAAGCATTTGTACTGCAAGTTGCGGCGCTCCCGCTTCCCGAAGACAGGAAAGCATCCCAGACGAGAAAGCATGGCCATCCCTCGGTTGGGCACCAGATGTAGCCTCCTGCTCTAGGCTCACCTCCCCTCTCCTCTGCTTCTCTTCTTCTCCCTGCAGAGTCTCTGTCTACCCCCGCTGGCTTGCTGCCGTAGGGGTCGCCACTGCTCGCTCGATCGCTCGGTCTAAACTTCAGCTTTGCTGCAGTGATCTGGATCCTGGTGCGAGACATTCCTGAAGCTCACGATATATTTTTTATTTAACTACATCGGGCAGAGTGCGCTCATCTGATGCTCTTGTTGGGGTGCTCTTGAGAGTATGTATGAGTATACACTCAGCAGATCCCCATCAGGTGAATGGGATCTGGTGTGATGATCTCTGAGGACGAGTGTCGATGATCTGATCAGGTGATCACGGCCGCAATGCCACATTAGCGCATAAGCTCTTGTCCATAATTCAGCGGAACTGTACTCTGCAGTCTGCAGCAGCAAAGACAACAGTAATCGGGGGCTTGCCTAAGCCGGCTCGCGGTCTACTCTGATCAGCAGCAGCAGCAATAGTCTGACTCGAGGTCACTCGACATCATTATCGTGTACTGTGTGTCTCCGAGAGTCCGAGGGGCCTCTAGGGGCGATGTCTCCCTCACTCTCTTGTTTTCCCCCCACGCCCAATCATACTGTTTCCCTCCCTCACTCACTCAGTCCGTCCCCCTCTCTCTCTCTCTGTGCCTCTCCCCCTCTCTCTGTCGCCATAGGTCTCGAACCTACCTATCATGGCACTCTCCTGCCTATCTCTGCTTTTGGATGACGTTCTGTATGGGAATCAGCCAACTGAAACAATTTATTCCAACAGAGATATAGCCAGCTACCGTCACTATTGACTCTAATACGAGAGATGTCAGGAACGAGATCAAAGTTCGAGCCTCGAGCTCCAGTACCAGGAGTCTATTCCACTACAGACGCCGAATATATGCCGAATATATGCCGAATACATCGTGTTCTCTAAGACCGTGTATATGCTCGATTCATTGTGCTTCTAAGACCGTGTATATGCTCGATTCATTGTGCTTCCGCTACCTTCTGGTGGTGCGAGGCGTTTAGCAAAGTGTTGAGTGCAGAAGGTAACTGAATTTGTATGTAAGCATCAGACATCAGGACAGTAAGCCACGTCTCTAACGGTCGGACAGTCTGCAAGTTTCTGCCGGATACGTGTAGCCTCTTTCGGCTTTATGATGTACTTTCGGTCGACCCTCGGCCTAGAGATGGTAAGACTTCTCTTCAGTGCTCTCCAAGTTTGATGAGCTTTGATCTGCTACGGACGGGCCTTCGATTCTCTGTAGAATATCAAAATTTCTTGAATCTGTCCCATCAATGATGCAGATTGAGGTACTGGCTGTACTGTACGACACTTCCATTGTCTTCCGGGCTGTAAACCAGCTCATGAACTTGTCTGTTACCTTACCCGGGAAAGTCCCTCAACAGTGACAGCCACCCTGAACTGAAGCCAAAAGATTGGCAATCACACAATGGGATCTGAAAAATCTGATAACACCAATTATAAATGGCTAGTTGACCAGCTAGCATCTACATCCCTCGACTCTGCGGTTGCTTCAGCCTGGAAAGAGGGCAGAGCCCTCATAAGCAACGCTTGGGCCTAAAACACTCGGTCAGCAATATTTTGAGTAAGTCTAGTGATACAAACGTAGTACAACGAGGGAAATGAAGCAACCATTGATTTCCTCCATTTGACCGATGGAGATCCCACGGTCGGTGAGACTCAACGTGGATCCCGCGATCCATTTTGAGCCTTTACTACAGTGGGATCTCACACATACTAGACGCCACCGTGAGCTGAGACTACACCTCTCTACAAATTTTATCATAGCCAAGAGTGAGTACTCATGAGACCAGCAAGATATGAAACAAAGGTGACGTAGATTTGACAATTCAAGGTAATATCCTTGACTATACACCATAATATCCATTTCGGTTCAATCGGTCCCCGCGAGATGACTGAATGAGAAAATGTGGATTGAGGTCAAGAATATGCTACATATAATCAAGTTACTGACGCCTACTTATTCACAGCCGCATGAGAGGTAAGCAGCCACACTTGATCAGGCGAATAACCATGCACATGGTGAGAACGAGAACAACTTCAGTAATCTTCAACTGGTGCAAGATAAACATATTTCGAGACCGAACGATTTGCAAGACTTAACCAAGGCAAAATAACAAAGACAAGATACAAGCACGCCAACATCAAACGCTTATGCTCTTGAAAAACATCTGCGAGACTGATTCTGACGTAAGGGGGATATCACAGCAAAAGCCCGAATCTGTTATATAAACACTTCCAAATGGGACGGAATCCCGGATCTTGCTCTTGACAGATGATCTTCCTTCGCAGAATTCTGTGACGTTGTACAGTTTCAGAGTTCTTGGGAAATGCGGGAGTCTAGTGGGGATCGAAATGCGCTTGGGATTTGCCATATATTCGTATATCAAAAGCAGATAAACTAAGTTCTCCGACTCTGGTTTGGCAGCAAACCTTGGCATTTATATATCTCATGACTGCAAGAGTGAGAAACCAATCATTGCTGGGTCTCTTCCAAGTCAATACCACTCAGACTTCTACTCAGGTTTGCCTCTTGATCCTGATTAGACCGACTACTGCTGCCAACCAATAAGTGTCTGTCCCGATGATGTTCACCAATATGGTTATCATCCTCATCGCTTATCTCCTGCCCATTGAGCATTTTCGCTTTCCTGTACTCATCGTAGTGAGCGCGCCGCTGTTCCTCAAAGCTCCAGCGACGCCCATTTGACTCAAATCCTGAATTGGGTACGGGGCATTAGTAAACGTACAGCAGACGAGGAAATGAATGTCGATTAATAATAAAAAGCAAACCACTCCGAATCACGGAGGCCAGAATCACGAGAAGCTCACTACAAATTCAGTGTTGGTTATGCCGGAAATAGTGCAGTCAAAACTTTCTTGAATGACAGCTAGAAAGACATCTAAAGACAGCCTTTGCATGTCGAAAACTAAGGCGACGTGTTATTGTTGGAATTAAACGATAGGGTTGTTTTTACATGACGAAACATTAACTAAGGTTGGTCATTCTTACCCTTGTCCTGTCGCGACTATATAGAGGACCATGACTTATTAGCATTGATATGCCAAATAGCCCAATGCAAAGGTTAAACTAGACAGACAAATACAAATTACCTTGTCAACTTAAAAATCAAAGTAGCTGGAGAAAATAATGAGCATGTGAGCGTCTTTCCTCTAACAGTATTATACTCCACTGCCATAGCTTCCTCACACCTTAGGTATATTAACTCTATAAAGTGATACATATTTCGCAGGGAAGGCCCACTCACCATCTTCAATATAGTCAATGTGTCCAAGTATTTGATCTTTGATGCAGATATAAAACCACATGGCACAAAATGCAAGTAGTGTAACAGAAGCTTAGGTTAGGTCGAATGGTGACAAGGTCAAGTATCAAAATGTAATCAAATATGTCAGTCAACGCATTAAAGAGCGTTGCACAATATAAAGGACTCCAAAGCTTGCCTTCCGGGGACAGATCCGATCCGACAATACAAATCCCATGCAGGTTCATGTTCATGTTCCATTTTCTAGCAGATGGGAGAGGCCCTCTTTACTAATATTAAAAAAATATAAAAAAACTCTTCGGTTTTCTTTTACATGCAGGCTTGTTGCAACTTGGTTTGATTGTATTACTCTACGTTATGGTCATTGTTAAGGGCGGTGGTGTTTGCAATTCATCACATGACTTGCAAATTATAGCCTTGATTCTCAACACAAAGGGGTCTTAGCTGTTCCAGGTTACCAACCATGAATATGACTAGCAATCAGGTCCACTAAAGAGGTTCCATATGCTGCCAAGTTGCCACAATCTGCAAATGGCCTGCCAGGTGGTAATACAGACACCACGGGGCGATCACAATCACCTGAACACAGACCAATAGCTGTCTTGAGGGAATCAATGCATGGTAACTATCGCAAGACAGGACTTGCCCTTCCGCTTAACAGTATGGATATCTTAAGGCGGCAGAAAATTCGTTCCCACGGGCATTGATTCATTATACGAATTGGTCATAAACGCTATGGTACGCTTTTTTTAATCCAGAAATTAGGGAACTTCATGTACAACTTTCTTTCGGTTTTCCATAAGGATATGAGGGACTCAATGGCTGCCTTGAGCAAGAGCAGTTCTAGCATGTGAAATACTATACAACTTGTCCTGGAATACGAGATCGTGATGAGATCACTAACACTGGAAAGCACGTAACGTACGGGGTGAAATTACGACGAAAGTATAACCTTCGGGATTTGCACTTCCGACAATTCAATACACAAGTAGCGGGCAAACGAGGAGGAAGAGAGAGTACCTTCAATATCGTGGTCCATCTCCTCTGCCTCATCCTCAGATGATGTCCAGCCACCGCCTCGTGGTCGGGGTCGACTGCAACCTGCTTCATCATTGCTCGACGCCGCCACTTCTGAAAGGGCATGTCGTATGGCCTCGGCGTGTACAGCATCCGCCATAAGTGTACATTCGTCATTTGGACTTGGGCTCACTAGCCCTGCACAAAGTGAACCTTTTAACTAGTTGAACATCTCAATGCTTCCGACACCTCGATCTTTTCCAACACTCTAAAGGACCAACCTCACTATACAAGGCAGTAGATGTGATTCCTTCGGCAATCGTTGGCAAGATTCCATCTCCCTCATACACCGGGGGGAAGACCACGAATTGACAGTGTGGCAATGATGCTCCAACAAATGAACAAAACTGACATATTGTATCACATGATAGGCTTAAACCACGATGAACCAGAAGCCGGAATCCTGGGATCGTGCTTTAAGGTCATGTCACTCGAACGGCCGTAGTGATACAACAGTGGGAGAACCCGAGACAAGGAAGCGCCTTGCAGGTCTCTGATCAAACTAACAGTAGGAATGGAGGTCGCATGAGGTAACCACTTCTGAAACTCCTAATTCACTGGAAAGTAGGTTGCAAAAGGTGTCATTACGGCAGTCGACTATTTTATTTTTCAATATCACCAGTTGTTGATGTCCAACAAATAGGTTCAGTATGAAAGTCGGAGGACGAATCATGCCTGCAATATGAAAGCAGATTTTGATGAAGAGGGTTACTATCTCCAGCATATGATCGCCATCATCTGCGGTGACCTTTCAGGAGCAGAGGACCATTGACAAGGTCCCCGAATGCGCTTTCGAAGGGAGTTTCGACGAAACTGGCGAGGTTGTCTAACCAGTGGGTTGGCGCGCACGTCCGGTCACTGCATGTGGAATGCTCCGCAGTGACGACTTGCTCTTCCAAACGCGCCAGTTCTGGAGCGGTCTGTCCAAGTTCTCTTATTTTGAGCCAATCAGCAACAGAACAAAGTAAATGAGGCTTCATGTTGATGTTTCACAACTGTAAAATCTTGCTGTAGGAGAAACTTCGGGCTCTGTGGGAACTCCTAATATTACGTTCTCAAATGGCCTTTAAGGACCACAAAACTGAACCAAAGGACTTCGAGAATCAACATAACAAGAAATGTGGGAGAAAATCGTTGAGAGTTATCAAATACTGAGTCTTTCCAGAATTCAATATATGTGATCCTTTCGGTCTGAAATTTGTGCATTGGTACTCTTGGGTAAGTAAGCTTGCTTGTCAGCTATAGAGTGGATGAGCCCTCGAGAGCGGTTCCATCACATGGGCACCACGAGCACGGGAATTTACTTATGCAACGTGAATTCGACACAAGGGCATTGTGATACATTGGAGCAAGAGGCCTTAAGAAATTGGAGGGGAGTAGAACAACCGTTTAGATTATTTCTTTCATATAAAAGCCAAGCCCTTTCAAAAAGGCTCTAGGGCTACGATATAAAACTCTGCCTGAAATGTTACTTCTTTTCCTCTGAGAAAACTCAAGAGTCGAGAGGCGTTGGACATGCATGCCAAACGCTGGGATTGTTGCCCTTAAGTGAAGCTCCCGTAGTCCGTGGGTTTCGCTTGACGGTATTCTTAACACCGCAAGCAGAGAAGGAATACTGTTGCGCTTGAGCCCCATCAAGCAAACACTTCGGGAGAGGGAGCTAGCACTCCACAACTAAGAAAACTATTCTCAAGAGATAAACTGGTATCTGCTGGGCTCTAAGTCAGCTTCCACGGTACTGACAATCGGCACCAAGCTGTTTCATATTCAACTCTGCCGGAGTACGTCAGTGCTGTTGATATCCCAAAGAAAGCCCAATGCGGAAAAGCTTGTACTAGAGCCCTGACTGGTTTTAAGTCCCACTCCGCCTCCTACCCTCCTCTCACCCCACTCCTTATTCTTTGCTCCAACCTCCCTAGAGTCCAGCTCTTCTATAGCCAAGCTATTGAAGGCCTGTCCCAAGGAGTCTTGGAAGCAATGCCACCTTCTGAATCGTTTTTCTGGAGAAAAAGCAGCTTTGTCTGTCAGGCTAATGGAACAAATTACCACTGCATTTGTCCCATACAATAAGTTCGTGAAACAGAACACTGTCCTGAGAGTTCAACGTATTGCTGAAAGGGATAGTCCACACAAACCAAGTGTTATTTATTTCTCCTCCTTGATATTATTTTCCACCTTGCAGATTCGAAGGTCAAGTTGAAATATACACAATCTCCTCAAATGAAGGCAAGCATCCAAACAAACTTGGCGCAGAAATCAATACGAGAGCGAAACTGCACAACGAGGTCTTTACAAAGAGAAAACTTACCATCTTCAGCTTCAGGAGCATGATAGGGTGTCTTCGGTTCAGTGATCTTCTGCTTGGGAGTCTTGTTGGCCTCTAAGAAGTCCAAGTTTTGCTCATCCCAGACCACTCGGACTCTGCAACTCTCGAAAACAACATGAAATATGTAATTAATATTCGTATGTCTTGACAAACTCTGAATCAAATGTTACTAATAAAAACTTAATCACTCCCATTTATGAAGAGATTAAGGTCAAGCAAACTTTCAGGTCAGTGAAGCAACGGATAAACATAGATAATTTGAGACGTACTATGCTGATGCTTCTTCTCGTATTAGATACGTATGATAGTTAAATGTTAATGATAGCTAACGATACAAATTAAATTCCATTAGATAGAAACATACAAAGGAGAACCGAGCCAAATCGAAGGATTAGAATCACGAAACTCTTTTCGAAGGACTCTAAAACCCTTAAACAGAACTTAAGAACTTTGAGATTGCTTAAAGCATCATCACGAGAGATGCTGACTAGCATATACATGCTAGTAACAATGAATTCGGAACTCGGGCGGGAAACTCATTCATGCCATAAAATCACTACGTTAACAACACCTGAACGTCATCCAATCAATCTGTCCAAATTAGAGTTGGTTCACATTTCCTTGTGTCAAATGGGCCCTTTAAAGTCACAGCAATCGTTAGCGAATGTTATCCTCCGGCTTCTACTGTGCAGCTACAAGATTGATAATAATCCGGTATATCGAAACATTCGCGAACAACCTCCTCTATGAGGATTGTACACATCCCTCCTTGAGCAAAAATTAGGCGAAGTGCAGACTATCTAGAACCTTGTCCGAGAAGACCACCTCGGATTTGCTTCTTCAAGAAAATTGCTCAAAAGCGAAGACGGAAAGAAGAAAGCGAACGCAAGACGACAGACAAGGGAACTTCCAACAGGGAATATGAAAGCGAGTGCAATTTCAGGAGTTGGAAATGGAGCGCGAAGGAACACCTGGGCTTCGTGCTCCCGCTTCGTCTCATTCCTCTATCTTTGTCACGCCCTCACGCTCGCTGATACAGACCTCAACGGCGGCAGCAGACCCGAATACACGTGCACAGGTCAAAACAACGGATGCCTGATAGAGTCCAATTGTCCATAAGACACGGCAAGCCGAAGCATGACGCCTGCTCCTCGACCGCCCCCGCTCGCCCAGCGCTGCAGATCTGCCTTCGAGAATCGGTGCACCAGCGCCAGCGCTCGGAAATCGACCCCAATTCGGCGCAATTCAACTCTCGTCGAACGAGCCCTCGAGGCTGGCGAACACAACGGCAGCCCCCGCGACGGCAGCCCCGCATAAGCCTTGGACCAGAAGCCGCGTCGTGCGCAACGTCCCAGCGACTCGCCGCTCGGTGCCCTCGAGCACGGACGCGCCCAGCGACAGGACCCGATTCCCCCAGAAGGTGGCCCAGTACAGCAGAAACGAGCCGAAGGCCAAGCTCAGGAACACCGCCAGCAGGCACGCCTTCAGCGCCCAGTTCGTCACCGTGTTCAGACCGCCTGAGCGCCCGCCGTCCCTCCGCTCCGACTCCACCTTCGCAAGGCCGTCCGGCGTCGCAAACGGCCCCGCGCCCGAGTCCCCGTCCCCGTTCCCTGGTCTCCTCCTCCTCCTCGGTCAGCCCACCACCACTTCCGACGAACGCTCGCTCGCTGCCTCGCTTCCCCGTCCGGCTTTCTAAGGTCCGCGCTCATCGACCCGACTATCTCGACCCGAGGGTCGAGGACCACGAGGCGGCGCGGTGGCCGTGTCTCTATCTGCCTCGCGTCCCTGCTGCCCCCGCCATGGATGGGCATCCGTCCGCTGCTTCTCGGCTATACTAGAAGGGACGATCTAAAGTTAGCGGGAGGGTCCTCTCTTGCTCTCGGGGAGCGAGAGAGGGAGGGAGGAAATAGAGCACCACTAGGAGGGAGAGGACCGCTTTGGACATGGTTTCTCCGGGGGTGGGCGGGCGGGCGGGATGCCTGGCTGGCTGGCTAGCTGGCGTGCCTGTTGAGCTTTCTCGTGACCTTTGGGTGGGCCAGTGCAGAGAGGGCCACGTGGCGGGGGGTTTCGTGCTGTAATTGGGTCGGTTGACGATCCGGCAGCTTACTGTTGGTCCAGTGGGCAGGGACCACATCACTGGACAAGTGGACGCAACTTGCGGGCTTGTACAGTTGGAAACGAGAAAGGGTACCGACTGCGTGGACGATGTGGTCCGTGAAGCTTACTCGACGGCGACCCCTTGTCGACGTGGTCGCCGGAGTTCACGCGTCGCGTCGAGAACTCCAGAGTACGCAGCAACTCGACTCGACCACATGCGCTTCGATTTTCCAGAAATTCTTCGGTGTTTGGATTCGCCTGCTGCTTCGTTCTCACGAATTTCAGTGACCACGTGCTCTGGAAATTCGGGCCCTCTCTTTGTGCAATCTTTAGATGCGGTTGAACGAATTTTGTGCTTTGAACGCCCACGTGAAGAGAAGAGCGAGGGACGATGGAAATCTCAGCTCGCATGGCACCTCGAAAGTGCTGCCGGAAGAACCTTCTGGAACACTGAATGAACTGCAATGCTCAATCTTTGGAATACTTCTTACGTCTGGCAGCAGCGATGCAGTGGACGCACGCACCTGATACCCCATTTTACGCAGATCACGGTTGCAGAGCAGTCGAAGTGCTCTGCGGTACGGATCTAGCTTATTCTGGCCAAGGTTTGAAGTTCGCCAACGGCATCAGTATCTATGAGACAGAGGCAAAGCTTTTCGAGTACATGATCAATTGATAATGGTATTAGTTGCCTAGCGACTCATGTGATACTTTTTCTCTTGTCTCTACCTTCTGTGCACTGACTGCGTACATGCGCCACGGCGTAATTTGGGACAGTTCATCAATCCGCACACGATCTAGCTCCTGAAGATTCGCTGGACCCGACCCGATCAGCCGACTCTTTTCTGAATAGACTGCTTCGGGATCCGCAGTAACATCCTTCCCGATGTGCATGACTGCGAGTCAGTTTTCTTCGGGAATCTGCAGACTCTCGAAAATGAAAACGCTACCACATGTCAGGGATTAGGCCTCTCAAGGCTTGGCAACCCCATGCGGAGCCAGTAGATTGTTCACCAAGAATGGCTTTCAAAATTTTGGTGCCCGACTCCCGGCAGCAGGTATGAGAATAAACGCTTTCCAACATTGTAAAAAACAAAAGAATATGAAAGCTTGGTGAAAATTGTCACCATGTTGAGCTTTGCATAGTTACTGCTTCCAATATTCCTTGCGATCATCCCTCCAGACATCTCCATCTTCCTCCTCCTGCTCTTTATGTAAAGACTTCTCTACGGCGCTTGTATTCTGTCGTCGTAGCGTATTGGTCATGCCGAAATAGTTTGACAGCTCGTCCATCATAAATACTTCCCTTCCTCGTAGGAGACTAATGCCTATGTATGTGTAGGCTGAAAAGACCAAACTTGCAAATCCGCCATCCTCACTTGCTACGATTTGAATCCAAGTGTTCGAAGCCTTGAAAGAACACACGTCTTCCTTGCCGACAATACTGCGGCAGCGACCTTCATACTGGGTCTTTTGCTCGCATAATTCTGAGCATTACTCAGGGAATCGTTCTCGAAATGCAGCATCGAAGAGATACGATATCACATGCAGTACTGAGAAGCCAGGTCGAGCATCGAAAATCGATGTATACCTGAGCTCCCAAGTCAGTTTTGTGCTAGCGAGTAGCAGTGATTACTGCTAAATAGCACCACTCATTTGCCCCCAGGGAGAGTCCATGGTGTCTACGGTCTACTAATGAGTGCAGTTTGTTGTTTCCAATGTGAGCTCTGCAACAGATCCTACGACGTAGCACGTTCCAGACGTAGCTCATATCCTTAACTCCTCCGCAACTCGCGTTCACTTTCGGGATATCCTCACAGAATGAGAGACCCAGATGCCTGTCCGAGACAGAGGTGATAAGGACAAGAGACGCAGACGCAGCTCCTTCCGCATCGACATTCCAAATTTCGGCGGAGACTCAGTGAAACGAATCTTGGCAGGATACTCTGCTTCTTCATTCGTGTCCGTATGTACTGTGATGAGAGCAGCGAAATTGTACAGAGAGTTGGAGGGTGCACGGCGCTTTTGAGGGTAGAAGATCCAAGTGTTTAAATCATGTCTGGAAATCTTTCCACCCCCGGATATTCATGCAGAGCTAAGTACAGAGATCATACACAAGCGCATACAACAACACATGCTTTGTACACAGAGAACCTTTTGGCAACTTCGACGGTTCAGCTCTTCCCCCTCCCCTTGCCCGCTTGAAGCGCGGTTTCCGAGACAAAGTGGTCAGGAGTCATCGAGTAACATCACCACGTGCACGTGCACTCAAACGCCGCCGCCAACGGGCTCATCCATGAAATGTAGAGTGTTGACGACAATTGCACCTCTCGCAGCGACGAGATACAATCCCAGATGGTGGAATATTTCCTGCAACCAACGGGAATGCTTGTTTTGAGTATAAAATTTGCTGCCAACACACTGCCAAGTGCCCAAGTCCGGCCACTGCCCTACCACTTTCGTTAATTCAAAATACAAATCTGAAGACCGCAAACGAGATCAGTGTCTGTACCATTTCGGCAATAAACGTATCGACAGTGACCTTAAGCTTCTAAGAGCCGTGATCTCCATCAAGAAGCAAACAAACATGGCAGACATCTCACGCAGACAAGAAAAAATCAAAACATCAATCGCAAACCCAGCCAGCCCAGAAGCAGCAACGTCAGGATAGACTTCGGGACCTGCAACTGGCTTCAAAGAGTCCACTCCATGATCTGCGCGGAGGAAAATGGTGAGAGGACTGCGGAGAATTGTGTGCCATCCTGGCTCAGCAGGGAACGGAACGAGAGGTACGGAGGAGGGTGGCAAACTGGCCAGTACAAGTACTTCCACTATCTCAGTATCTTCTCAAATGTATGGAATGGACGTACCAAAGAGAACGAATCCATAAGCTGCTGCACAGGCAGCCAGGCAGGCAGGCAAGCAGGCAGGCAACCGGCTCTCTCAGAAGAAGTATCACAATGTTGCACCCAAGCTCAAAGTAGCCCAACATACAAAGAGCACAGCAGCACCTGAGGATGAGCGATGCCACCGGTATCCCTTGCTACTTGCACCGGTAGGTCGTACGTCGCACACCCCTCGCTGTACACGGCCACGTGCTTCAGCGGGTTGAGCATGTCGTGGTTCCTGGCCGAGAGCACTGTCTTGACGAAATCCATCACGCAAATGTCCGTACAGATTCCCACCACCAGGATCTACACACGGTCACACATTGGGCCATCACGCATCAACAAGTATTCAACGCAGACAGGATGCATCATATGAAGAAGAAAGTCTGATTACCACATGGGTTATCAAAACGCACTTGTCGACAATTTGACTCCACCTGTACGAGGTGAAACTCCAAATCTGTCAACTGCTTAACCTTTGAATTAAATGATCGTCAACAACGACGATTTGTAGCTGCTCGGAAATGACAAGGCCTCCCTACATTTGACTGGAGCCTCCCGATGATTCTTTTGAGATGAGCTGGTGACAGGTTGTTGATTATGCATCAGTTCAGTGTTATGACAAGGTGTGTACAGGAAGACCTTACTGCCGAAATTGCTGCGAGAGAAGTCTAACCCAAATGCTGGAGCCTCTACTACTAAGTTTCCGAGAGATGTCAGAGAAATAAGAGGACGTCGATACTCGACGCAATGAAGGATCGATGCGATGAGGTTCAATCACCGGCGGACATCCTTTCAGCGAGTCAGACAGATGTCCAGTAGTATCTAACAGCAAAGGGTGGTGAGAATTTCCTCTCCGGGTTTTATTTACAAGGAGTTCGTGAAGGAACAGCCAAAGGCGGAAATGAAAACTGACCATTTCAATCTGATGCTTCTTGATCCATTCCACCACCACGTTCGTCCCATCCTTCTCGAACGCTCCGATGAAGGCGTCGATACAATCCTTACGCTTCACGAGCGTATGCTCGTCCTGCTCCAGCCATGCCAAATCTGCAAATCAAACAAATGCAATCACATTAACGGGTTTTCATCGGCCCGGAATACGAAAGCCAGCTCTGTAAGCAGGCCCCTGCCTCTCGCATCACGTCGTTCAATATGAGAGGAACTGCTACGTGAGTGCTGATGAGAGGTTGAGCAAGTGGATGTCCGAAGCAAGCTCAGGACGAGACGCTTTCAAATGGTACAGGCCACCGGAAATGCACTGCATGCTTGGTGCAATCACTCACTTTCATGCCGAACGCCCCCCGAGCAGACTGTGCAATCGTGGCGACTCAAAAGAATACAATTTTTACAAATTCGACTCCATAAACTGCTCTAGTCAATGCTGTATCATGAATAGCTTCAGTTCTATGGTATCACAGGGAGCTGGCCACAAATTCGCAGTGACTGTGCCTAAAACATGAATCTCTACATGTATCCATGATTGTGTATCGTCTTGTCAAGGATACCTGAGACGAGATTCTCCTCACCCGTCCCCACAATACAATGAGGAGGATACGGAACCTCCGGCTTGTCGGGCTCGTGTGTATCAAGAAACGCCAAAATTGGCCACCCCCGCTCACTAAATTTCTTTGCAATTATGTTGGTTTCCACTACCATATCAGAGATCGACTTGCTGGGAACTCGCGGTGCCTGCACAGAAATCGTCATCAAGCACCGATTAAAGACTACCTGTGATCTCATCATACCTATGATATTTTCAGCGAAGAGAGCGTAAAGTGTGGAACGTGCTCTCATTCTTCCTTTCGTCCTTCGTTTCCCATGAATCGTAACAGTCGCAATTGCTCATGCAAAGGCGACGAAATCCCACAAGAGTGCTTGCTGCTCCGTTTGACTCGTTCGAGGGTTGCGTCTAGAGCTTCCTAGCAAGTGTATCGGAAACATCCGAAATTGGAAGCCCGTCTACCTTCTCGGCAGCGGAGGTGTCAATGAGATGTCACATCGATGCAGCCCGTCGGTATAACTACTGTATTTCAGAATTTTCGTGCTGCCAATCCCCAGACGCTGGAAAACGAAGAAGGAAACTGATTCCGAGTGATGTGCAATCGCGGCACGGGATGGAACTGTCGACATGGAATGTGTAATGGGGGCGCAAGAAGACGGAGTACATTGAGAGGATGTTTCGGGGAGCATTCATAATCACATCATCGGGTAATTAAGCCATTGACTGAGCAGCCAGCCACGAAAACTCCGACAAACTCACCAGGTTTCCTGCTCCGACGGTGCAGAACCCGTTGACCTCATCGATTATCACCAGTCCTACGCGCTGGCTCGACGACAGATCCAGGCTTGCGTAATTCAGGGGCAGCTCCGATCGCAGTTGAGCCGCAAAGTCCGAAAATGGAACCATCCTGTACGTTCTCCTGGCGCCAATCGGATGAAGAAACCTCCCTCAACCCGAACGTGATCGCCAGCAGCACTGTCAGAAAAACTCTCGAAGCTCTACGTCACCACCGAAGCTCAACTCACCGTCTCGCACGAACAAAACTCCTATCTTCCCCACTTTTGCGGACTCCGTTCGCTCTCCTAGCTATATGCGATCGAAAGATTTGCGCAGTCGGGGTGCGAGTTATCATCCTATTCTATCGAGGGCGTGTGCACACGACCAAATCCGCTGAATTGCATCTGCAGTTCATCATCTGCGGAGCAACTCACGATGGCCCGATTATAATCAGAACGATCTACGCTGACTTCCACAGTGCATCGAGTCTCCGGCAGATTCAGCTCCGGGGACAGAAGTGTCAATCTCGCTGCTAATATTAGGCGCTGAAACTTACGGTTGACCTAAACCCTAGGAATGGAGGATCTCCTAGGCATGAATGAGAGAGTGTGAGAGCAATCCAGCTGAGGGCCGAGGACCCACCCGCGGGCGATGAGGAATCCGGAATGGAGGATGCGAGCCCGACCTTTACGGAGGTGGTAGTCGCAGGCTCAGCCTGACCGCTTCATCCCCGGGATAGCCACCGGTGGTCCCCAGAGAGAGATAGAGAGGCGCAGAAGAGAAGCGAAGGTTTTAGAGTCGGCATTCTTCTCGATCGGACGCTTTCGGCCTTCAGGATTTGAATGTGAGGACTAATATGCCGTCAGTCAATTGTGCCCACCAAGCTGGAGGGTGGCTGGCCCCCTTTTGTGGTTCACAGCAGCGCATCACCGATGTCCACAACGCCGGCACGGTGGAGCTCGTCGGACAGCTCGTGTCCACTCTGTGCATGCAGTCTGTCGCTCGGGGAAGGGACGCAATCGATCACAGTAGACTCAAAGTCCGGTGCGCTTTTCTCAAATCTACCGGATAATGGGCTAGTTCCTATTCGCTTTGATGTGCTCTTTTTCGATTTCGGACTCGGCCTGTTCCCGCACACTGGAAAGAGGGGCTCGTCCTGCATTCATTAAATTATCCTCTTTTTGGGAAAGCCTCTTGCTTCTGTTTGCAGATCCTCCTAGGCGAGCGTCTGCCACCGGACCGGCTGAAAATTGACGCAGGTGATTTTGGCTTCTTCGACTTTGGGGTATAATTGCTGAAAGCGAATTGTGGAGTTTAGTTGATCGAGAGTATCGGGCTGCACGAGGACAGAATGACGTCTCTTGAGATCTCTGCCCGGGTCAAGACATTGCTCCGGAGGTGCTTCGAGTTCGAGAGATTGGAACCGCAACACGAGCCGCTCGGCCCCGGAGCTCGAGGCTGTTGCACGAGCTCTACGCGTCTTAATTTGCGAGCATCTGTGTCGGGAGTGGCGATGGGGTGGGGATGGTTTACTCCATTTCCCTCTGGATGCAATACAGCGTGCCTGGCTATGTGAAAACTCGCGGTCCCATACATGACTTTTACCTATATCGGGTTCCTTATCACGTTCTCGAACTGAATAGTCTCCCTCGACCAGTAGTGGAAGACTTCGCCTATGGATTAGTGAAACAAATCCGAGAAGTTGCATACTTCGAGGGGTTGCGCTCATTGATTTGATACGTTGGTACAAGGGCCCGGAGAAGTCTTTCACTTTACAAAAGAAGGAAGATTTCGCTACCCCCCTTAAACGGTGAGCTTTCATCGATCGAGTAATCTGAATTTTCCAGGTCACAAGCAGCCAGGTCCGACTGTGTGCGAAAGGTCCGAGTTGGTTCGAGGACTCCCCGGGAAAGGGATATCTGGACCTTGCATCACTCGGGCGTCAGCAGGACGATTATTGCTCCGGAAAAGCGACGCCACGACCTTTCATCGGAATGTGACTGGCACGCTTTTGTGGGTCGGAAGGAAAAATGAGGTGCAGCCGCAGGATGCAATGAATGTCGGTCAACGGGAGGAGGGAGAATCCCGTGAGAGCGCAACGTCACGTCTTTGGAAGAAAGTGTCGAGTACAATCCGAAAACGACGGATTTAATGAAAAGACAAGTACATACTCCGTGAGCTGGTTGTACCACTAGTGAGAAGAAGAAGAACGGACAAGCTGATTTAACAGGCACTGTCAAGTACAGTCCCAACAAAAATCGCAGATCTCAAAAAGTTCAGTCTACGAGAGAGAGATATTTTCCATATCTATGAAAGCAAATCTGGTGACGGCTGTTCCTTCCTCAGGCGCAGACTCGAACTTCTCCTAAGTTAACACATCTTCAATTGTCTCCATGCACAGGACTAGGAACAGCTACCGGTTGGTGTTCGCGGCTGAAACCGTCGATCCTCTCTGCTGAACTCTGGGCTAAATCTATGAGATTCAAGCGTAGGGTCCCACTCATTTATGGGAGACGTCCTTAGATGTCTCCGATGACAAATACAGCATTCATCGAGGAAAATCGCGAGGTAGGACTGGAATGGTTGAAATTTAATTGAAGTCTGAAGACCAACGAAGAAGGCTGGTTTACACTAACTCCCCTATGATTGTGATAAATGTATTAAAGCCCTCTGAGAGCCCCGGATTGTGATCTGTGACCGATCAAGCATCTGGGAGTTCCATTCGATGATGAGAGAGATCTTGGGTAATGCAACGGGATCCCCAAAGTTCCAAAAATCGTAAATATTGTAAAGACGATTGCAAGGAGGGAGGTATAGTATGTAGAGCAACAATAAGTATTGGTTCATTCAATGTAAAACGTGAAATCCAAACCATAGCACCACGATGCACAACCCTTAATGGCTCGTGGACAAGATATTCACCTAGCTTCTAAACCCACCTCGTGGCTTGTTAAACGGTGGTTGCCGAAGTATTTCCGCCTTCATGGTTTCTTTAGTTTCCAGTCAAGCATCCATGGAGTATCCGGATAATGACCGTAGACGCAAGAGGACGAAGAATGAGCTCTTCAACGATACTCTTGGGACCCAAGTACTTCATCAACTTCATGTACAGAGATCGAACCGATTTCAACTTCACGTCCTTTAAGGCTCGAACTTTAATAAGCACCAGAAAAATTGTAACTAGAATTCCATGGAACTTCAGAAATTTCAAATTCCTTGATAGAGACATAGGCGAGTACAAAGGATGAAGAGGCCGTCAATAACGACCATTGCAAAGCCGAAGGGAAGAACACGTTGTGGGACTAAATCCTCTACGACAGTCCCCGGGAGCTAAGCCCTTTGTTCTCATGGCTCACCTCGATTGAATAAGTTCATTACATGCAAGGATTAGCGTTGAATTAACTCGAAAAAGGAATCGAGAATACAAGAGTTGGCGACTTCTATCGGCCCCACTCTACCATGTGAAACAAGACCTGCTGGAGGTAGTAGTTTCCATCTGGATGGGACATGCCAGCATGATGCAACCTATATTAAACTAAATTAAACTTCGAATCGAAGTTTCTACGGCCAGGACATGGGCAAAGTGTTTTTGGGCCTTTTATCCAGTAACCGCGAACTTCAACTTTGTTCTTTCTGTCCTTTGTAACGCATCGAGGTTGTAGCATATACGAAGAAACGGGTTTCACGTTTCAATCTACTTTTCCGAGGAGTTTCTCCCGGTTCTTTCGGAGCTTGATAGATATGAACAACTCTGCATGAGAGCAGCTCGTGATCTCGTCGAACAGCATTTAGAGCGACACGTATCCCATAGGCTTCTCTCTTCGCCAGGATCGTCTTTTACAACCAAAATGTTCTAACCTTCTGTGTCTTTCAATGACATTAAGTAGAGGATGCCAGTACTGAGCACCAATAAAGCACCTACTCCAGAAAAATAACCTGGAGTAGGTGCTTTAAAGAGCTTCAAACCCCTTCCGAGCAAATTGAAAAGAAGGCTGGAATATGGTCATAACACCTGCAATTACACACACCCAGTATTCCTCGACCACATCCCTCTACAGCCAATAATTACTAGCTTAAAGTGAAACGTCGCTTGGCCAAACTAGGTTACTAAGTAGTCCATTTCGTCTGGTAAAGCCATATTCGATAGATTCATATGGAGAGAAACAAATCATTCATAACCTTGCCTTACGTTAAGCAAAGTCATTCAACTCCAGCTTTTGGCCGACAATCAGATTTGCCGGTGCATAAAATTCTCGAATTATTGTAAACGGCCATCCTGTATTGTGTACTGGTCGAGAATTTGCAATTGACTCTTTAATGGCAAAAATAACTCAGGGAAGAAGCTTTATTTTGAGTTGCTGGCAGTCTTGTGCTCAAAGTCTACATGAACATTAATGCTGCACCTCTCCGTGGGCCCCTTTGACAACCTTCGTGCATTCACAAAAGTTTTGCACGGTGTCCTCGATAGCAATTGGAAGTTTATCAGTAAGAACTTTCAGCTGCTCACTGCTAGGAATGCATAAAGCACATTTGCCTGAACTCCCAAATGCTGGTCATATAAAAATCCAGTTCAGGATGTTAAATCCCTCGCAAATAGAACATACTACCCATTAGACGGAAGAAACCGATACCACGCATTTGACAGCTGCAAAATTGACAGCAGCACTTGTCCATCTGCTCATGTGCACACAAGTTATATCTCCCAAAAAGCTTCCTCTTTATGCAGCGACGGTATGAAGGATCAAAGTTGGCGACCTTGCAATTAACTCGCTGCTGTCATCTGAGTTTGATCGATGCAGACTGACTCAAGAATCTTCAAATGAGCCGGGGAAAGAATTAACCCATGAAATTTAGCTTCTTCATGACCTTAGCAAGTGCCAGCGGAGCAATCGACGGAATCCTCAATTGTCTTCTCTGCTTTGCCGTCTGCAAAACGGAAGACCAGAAGCTAGGTTAGTATATGACTCAATAACCAGTAAATATGTGCCACGAAGTCAAATACATTGTTTTCATTAGTATTTGCGTGTCACAGCCCGAAGAGATAGAACTAAAGTAAGTCCAACCGAAAAAAAAAATCTTAGCGAACAAAAAACAGTTCACTGCTCACTAGAACAACCAGAAACATTGAAACTTTCTCAAGGTTAAATTAAAAACAGAGAAAGAAGTACCCAATGACTTGAAAAAACGTCTAACGCTTTAATGTCCTATCTCAAAACCACTCATCGCTCGTGTTTGCTGGCCCTAATCCTGGTCCATCCAGACACAAGCAGCTCTAGCATAAAGTAAATCGATTATCTGAAGGGGCTCAAAGAAACACTGTGGAAGAGCCTTGCAATAGAGTTACCTTAGAATGCGCATTATGCCGGGTCCCTGATCTCCAACGCTTGTAGGTCCCATCTGCCATCAACTTGAACCTCTCCTTGTATGACCTGGCATCGGCAGGAAAGACAGAGGTAAGTTCTATGTGCACACGACGTCCAGGTGGAATTCCAAACTTTTATTGACAAACTATTGTGCCTTTGGCGCACGACGCAGTGAACAATCGTCAGATGCTTCTCTTTGAGTGACAACAAATCTAGGTTCCTCGAAAAAGCCAGCGGCTATTTCCAATACTTCCGCTTTGCAGAAAAAGGATAATGACGTAGCATGAACTACCCAGAAGCTAGAATACTGACGAGTAGGCTTTCATCTTGTATTTCTTCAATTTCGAAAGTCCTCGCTTCTGTTGCATCTGCGCGGAAAAAGGATGAAAAAAAATTAAACATTTAAAACATTTTCATAGAGCTGTCCTGTTCCCGACCATCAGCTCCACGACGGAATTTCAAGAAACATCCTCCTGGCTTAAACCTAGCAAAATTCTGTGAGAGGCTAACTTATTGAAAGCCATGATTACCTCTAACGTAGCACAAAGACCTGAACTTCTTGCCTCAGTTGCTCAAGGTCTACTTTCTACTGAATCCGAACGATATCAAACCCCTAAAACCCTCCTAAGACCCCCATAAGAAACAGACCTTCCATTGTGCAGATTCTCATTAAGTAGAACAAGTAGAGTTTGTTCAAAACGTAAACTTCCGGGGAAAATACTGTGAATTGCAGTACAGGTAGCAAAAGCTAGCAACAAAGCTGGCACAAGATATTTATTTTATTTTATAAGCGGATTCTCAACCATCGTAATAAACCTTCGCCCGATTTTCTCAACCCCAATGTTTTGGCTATGGAATCTTCAATGCTGCAAACATCTAATGAACATTTGAATATAACGACCATGCAGAGTCATTGCAGACGAATTTATACTTATGTCCACATGTCACTCAGCAGTGAAAAGAGAGAATGTAACCAACCGAAGATGCATCGAGCTGCTGCCCAATCGAACCAACACCCCCAAAGTTCGGCTCCAACAGAGATCGCACAGCCGAAGGAAACAAACTCGCACGAGAGCAAGACAACGTAGACAGAGGAGCAGCGGAGAACGAAGACAGGGATTTCGTAATCTCAGAAATCCTAGACCCCGATCTGTAATGTGCCACAAAAGAATTCCAAGCACAATCTGCACCAGCGACCCCAAAATTTGACGAGCTTCTCGAACATTCCACTGCTCCAACCACAGGCGCACGCGATCCCCTGACTGAAGAAACCGATCCAATTCCTGCACCTCTCGAACGCAAAGCTCTGACACCGCTGCTGCTGCCTCGGAGCAGCCCCATAAACCCCATAGTTCCAAACAACCCGCCCAACCTAAAACACTCTTGGATCGATATCAATTTCCCAAAAAACTACGGCTACCGAGGATGAGTTCCTTCGTTCTCCTCAAACTCCGTCTGCACGCTCTCGTTCCATGGGCTGTTCGCAATGCTCGAGCATCGAACTCCAACACTCACAGGAACATCTAACCACAACTGCGCCCTAGATGGCAACCGTAGACGATACTATGGGTGCGTACAGGTTAGCGTATCTCACGAGAGGACAACCGTATCGTGGTCCTGCCGAGGTTCGAACTCGAAATACTGCAATAGGCCAGGATCTCTCCCCCAAAGAACTCAACAACTTTAAAGTCGTACTCTGGAGTATATGGGGCCATGGCCCACAGTCGCCTGTCCACCGATCAGCCCCTCAGTTTGGTCAGTCTGCACTATCTGGTGTCACCGATATACAAATGTGACCTCTTTTTTTTCTGCAACAGACCCAAATGAGGATCACAGAGCGTTCAGACATAACCGTATACTTATATCGCAGTTACACAGTTCCCTGGAATAAACTTTTCTGGCAGTCCTGTAAAAGAAGTTTTCGCTTGTACTATTAAAAGGACTATGAAATAGAACTTTTAGTCAGTTTGGAAGCTGGGGAACATCCAAAAGAATATAGTTTTTTTTCAATTCAAACCTTCGTTTCTTGGTCCGCATATTTAATCGAGAAATTGAAGGCTTGGGAGCTCTTTATCACGAAATATTCCTCTCTCGGTTATATTTAAAAAGCATAAAGCATCTTTTTGAAACCCACAACTATTGTTCAAATGCAATAACATTTGAATATTCTCGAATTTGAGTATTCTCGAAACGTTTCTTCAGAATATCATCAATTTTTTATAAAGGACATTGATAAAGCATCTTTTCAAAAATTCGAAATAATATTAGGCAGAAATTTTTATATTCATTTTTCGGAAAAATATATATAATCGAAAATTTTCTAAAATTTGCATACTTCTATCCTCAAAAATTGATATATCTTGGATATGACTCATACACTCAATGATACGATACATTAATATGACATTGAATATATTATCTATGATTTAATCTTTAAAAAACATTCGATTAATGTATCAACTATTTGTTTTCTAGATTCATGTGAATTTTAAGTCTATATAGTAAGAAGAATATAAACAATTTATGGAATGATTTTGTAAATTAATTATCTATGAATATAAAATCTATCAACACGCATGTAATATAATATTAATAGCATGCCTAATTAATGCATAATATTGCTTATATATAGACTTGTTTGGCAAAACATCATTCATATATATATATATATATTATAGAAGTACAAATAATTCCTGATATTATAATCATAATTACAGTTTTGAGCTTCAATTTGAATCAACTAGTATTTTGCACATAAAACATTCTACACATACATAATAAATTTCTATATGATAGTCTCAATTTCAAGATACCAGGAAAAAAAGCTTTACAAAAAATTATAAAAATTTTTACTTCTATTGATGATAATATTATATCTCAAATTCATGTGATTAAATCAAAAAACTTACACCAATTTTTTCATTTTTCGTTTTTATGAATGGTATAACTCTTCTTTCCATCGTTCGAATATTCACTTTAATTCATACTTACAAAGGGCGTGTGGTATTTTTCTAAATTTCATTTAATTTGAAAATCCTGTTTGTTCACTTTGACCTTTATAACTGGTATTTCCTTTTTGAGTAATAAAACTTCTGATTATCCCATATATTACATCTCTCCAAAAGATTTAAAACAATGTGCAAAGATGTCATCACTTTTTTAAGTTTAATGAGACTATACAGACTAAATATTGCGAGTTCAATACAAGTGGATTCTTGTATTTTTCCAAATATACTGAAATAATGTTAGGAGTATTAATTTTTCACAACTAAAAATTATTAATTTTAGTTGGAATAATGTCAAGACTTTATATATACATACATATATATATGATACTGAAAAAATGTCATGATTTAGTTTAAAACATTCTTTCACATTATGTTGAATTATATTATTTTCAAACCTAATAGTTTTAGAGTATATTTTTCATTTCACTAATAACATATAAAATAATTATTTAAAAATTATTTTTACCAAGACTTCAAACATTAATTAATGTGAAATTAAAATGTTCAAACAAGTAAGGCTTAATCTAGTTTTGATGTTTTATGGATCAATTTTGTTGAATTCATCCCTAACATTTTAAATTTTAAATTAATTTTTTCATATTTCATATTTATTAAATTAAATTCACTGTTTTTTAATTATTAAAAAAATCCCAAATTTTTTTTATGTCAATTGCTAAAATATGCTCAAACAAAGACATGGAACAAACTTATCATACAAATGTATCATCTTACAAATTGTTACAAACCACCAAATAATATGATAATTTTGATAAAAAGTTAATGTTAGATTATTTGAATTTACATTTTATATAAACAATGATAATGATGATTTTGAAGACAAAGTAAAATTTAGCATTTATAAAGAGATGTATGTAAATATGTTTGCTACATTTCATTATTTTTAGTATGCAAATAATTATTCATACCATCTTTGAATGAAATACATTTAAATTCATATTTGCTATACTCATTTATTTTCCTATATCAAATTTAATTTAATTTTTGGTTATTACAAGCAATAACGTCAATCAAAATGCTCTCAGTTAACACATGATTTGAACATGTTCTATAGGTTGAATAAGATTTTATTTTATTTATTATAATTATTAATATGTATTCAATTTTGTATTAAAAGAATTTTTTATCACGATTTGAATTTTTTGATGAAAGAAAAAAAACCACATGCGAATTGTAACAGGTTCTTATTACGACTAAATATTTACTTCAATGGTATGAAAAAAGTTAACAAATATGCAATAAACATAAAGTTCTATAATATAATAGAAAGTAAAAAATATAATATCTTCAAGTATTCAAACATTTTCTAGTAAATTATTCATTTTAAATTCAAAATTTTAAAAACAATGAATGATACTTCTACATCAACATTTCACTTTTCTATGATAAAACTGAATAAATAATTTTAAACAAAATAAATATAAAAAAAAATTAAACTTAGAAAAAACTTCTATCTAGTATACTTTATGTGTATAAAAGATATAAAATATCTACAGTCCTATAAATATTTAAATTATATATTTTTTAAAATTTTGGCAGATTTAAAAATAAAATAAAATACATTTAACCATTGTATTATCTTCATTGAAATGTAAGATATGCAATTGCAAGAAATTCAAAAAATCAGAATTTTTTATTTTGTAAAAAAAAATCCAAATTTATCATTATATATATTTATTTATTTATATTTACACATAATTTATCATAAATTTTCTATAATGCAGTACACAGAACTTAAACAAAATTAATATGTTGATTCATGAATGTTTAATCTTTCATTGTGAAGAATAAATTCATATGATTTTAAATCTACATCTTTAAATTCTCGATTTCCTTACTTTATCATCAATTCAATAACCTAATTGATGCCACTAGATTCAAAATTAGCCTAAATATATGAAGGATAAATACTTGAAATGTTAAATTACAACACTTTGATACTTGTACACACAACAATTACATCAAATATGTATCTGTTCAAAATTTATCATGAAAATCAAGTACTTATTATCTCTGCAGAAAAGTTATTAAAATACATGAAATATAATTGACCTTTTTAATACAATGGAGCCAGATGAAAATAGACTAAAGCTATAAATGCATGAAAAGTCCAAGATTTATAGCCTTACAATATGGTACATCAAGATTGTTATATATAAGAATAAAGAGAGTAGTATACATTATCATAAAGCATGATGATATAGATTTTTGGCATTCTTATAAAATAATTTACAATTATTAAACAATGAAATATCTTAATCTTCTTATGATAATAGTAAGGATACATTTATAAAGTTTTAAATACACTTCAAAAAATATTTATTTTAGATATACGTTTAATTCAAAATTTTATCTTCTGAACAAGAATATTCATCCCAAAATATGACATAAAATTTAAAATTAACAACATATCATATAGAAATTATTTTTTATTGATAAAAAATGCTCAAATATATATTAATATTTTATTGGGATAAATACATAAATTAAAAATTAAAAAATGATCTCCCACGCTTTTGATAGATTAAGAATATGTTTCATGATGATGCTTTAAGCTTGAATTAACTTAATATTGTAAAAAATTTGGTAGTAAATTTTTATTATGTATGCGTATTTGGTATTCAACATATTGTTTTAGATTTCATTATATGTTTTACATGAAATTTTTTATTTAATTGTAATTTAATATTTTCACAATTAGTTATTTTTTAATATAAAAATAATTTTGAAGATAATGAATCCATTCATACTTTTTTATTTGATTTTTTTTCAAAATTTGTAGCTTAATATATCATAATTTCAAAGAATATTGCGTGAGATATGCTGATATTTTTAATATAGTATATATATGCAATTGATGAATAAAAGTTATATTAATTATAAATAATATATCTTTTGTGTGACGGTAAAAGTTGAGAATTACACAAACACAAATAACGTGGTTCACCCTTGGGGAGGAGTGCTACGTACATCCAAACCTCCGAGCACTTTATTCCAAGTCTTGACAGAAAGACACATTGTACAAGGTAAAATCTGAGGTATTTATCACTTTATAAATAGCTAGGAGCTCAGGTTATTCATTAACTGGAATTAACCTCAACATTTTGTGGTTAAATATTTTTATTTTGAACATCAAACACACAAAATTATTTTATTGATTTAAATTTTTGTGACAATTCATAAAATTTTAATTTTATATGCAAGTAGTTTTTTTAAATGATGATATTGTAGTAATTTTATAATGATATAAGTTTTTGTTAAGGTGGAAAAAGTCAAATGCAAATGGAGAGCTTATGCAATCAAACAAGAAATAGAAATGACACATCATTCACTTGTTTTAAAAATTAATTCAATAAGTGCATTTATTTGTTATATCTATATTTTATAATATTATGATTTTTCTTTTATGTTAGAGATTTCATAACTCTAGAAAAGATTCCAAGCAATGAGATCTCACGTGAAGTGAAGTGAATTTTCACTATGTTGTAGTGGTTCAAAGAAAATAAAATTATAAATTATTCAAAACATGCTGAAATGTTTTGGATATTGCAAATGAAACAAAAATTTAAAATAAATTTTTTTGTTTGAATTTAGAT